ACACCATTTAAATCACTGTTGTAAGTTGAATAATGTGTTCTCATTTTGTAACTAGGTCAGCTCATAATCAAGATAACCTCAAGAATATATTTATTATATTTTGTTGTATCATTTATTTCTACTAGTAAGTAGGCCATCAGCTCAAGTAAAATTTTTATTCATATGTTTATTGTGGTATTTATATTTAAATGCTTTCACATTTGTAGCACATTCTTCTTGAACCAAGATATGAGTTAGGCCACTGGGCAGAACATTTTAGATTTATTCACATGTAAAAGGTGCCTCACATGGCAAAAGCTTTATTTTAGTTGTGCAGTATAATTGTAAGGAGTAACTTGACTCCAGAAACACTGAGTGATGTTGATTGAACACTGATCAGGCATTATGGAGGGGATTGATAGTGAAGAGGGAGTTCAGAGATGCATGAAGGATGATTTTTTTTTTTGGGTCAGGAAGCTTACACAAGTGTGTAAGCTTACAGTGAAGGTTAAGGAGCTAGTTATGCATAAAGATAATTATCTTTGAATTTTTAGAGCTGAAGACCCATTTTTGAAAGCCCTGGAAATTAGTTAAACCAAAAGTCTAGGAGCTTGGTAATTTGCCTAACAAATTTTCCTTGGGAGATGTGGAATGTTCTAAGTGGACAGACAAGCAAGCTATAGTCAGGAAGAATTTTCTGTGTAAGCATTTCTTTGATTCAGGTCATCTCTGAGAAAGGAACTTGAATCTCTCTGGTTCCAGCATTTTTGTGGTGATTTCTTTTGCATTCTAAATATTTGCTTCTATACCTAATTTTGTGTTGATAATCTTACTAAGAGAATACAAAATTATGCCTATCTATATATTTTTTAATCCATGCAAAAATATGAGTCTGCCACTGTGTTTCGCTAAATGAGATATGTGGGGTGTTTTGCTGGTACTGTCCTCCCTGCATTTAGTAACACACTAGTTACGTGAGTAAAGAAATACTAAATAGAATCTAGAAAAATCTTCATTTTACAATCAGTGCTTTAGTGGCTCTTTTACAAGAGAAAGTGAACCTCCTGGCAGCCAGTAAATGTCAATGTTAGAATTAGTATATACTAATAAATGGGAACTCAGACACTAATTCCAGTTCAAATCTGGAGGCCTTTGGAGAAAAGTAGTACATGTGTGATGAAAGTTCTGGGCCCCATTCATTTTTCAGACAGTTCAAATTAAATTGGAGTAATTTGAAATTAATTGCCTTAACAGCGAAGTATTTTTAGTTCCTTGGAACCTTAGTAACAGTTCTGTATAAAAAAAAAAAATAAGAAATTGAAGCCAGTGTGATAAATATGATTAAATGCCAAGGAACAACAATGATAAATCGTTGGCAGCTGTCATTTGATGTTCTCTAAAATAAAGAGACTTGTCAGTCTGCCAAGTAAGGAGCTTCATTGCAGAGGAAATAAAATAAAAAGCATCCTTTATCTTTTTTTTCATAGATACTTTTATAGATAGTAGCCATTGGTAACTTTGAGATAACTATTTTTCAAACCAAGGAACCTATATTGAAAGTGAATTGATTTATTTTCATTATTCATTCTCTTAATCATTCAATCAGTATCAAGTGTTTGAGAAATACCATAGAATTCCTAGAAGACAAGTGAGCTTTTAATGTCAGATATTGATTAGTGTTTGAAGAAAAAAGTTAGGAAGGAAAGAGATTCCATTTATGAGGAGGCTGTTTGAGAAAGGCTGTGCTAATTTCCTCATTGTTTCTGGAATATGCCAAGCAGATCCTCTTTTTAAGGTCTTTGGACTTTGTAGCTGTCACATCTACCTTGAATACTGCATCAGTTTTTCTCATTTAGGAATTGAAAAGATTTTAAAGATTTTCTTGCTTTTTGATCTGGATATCCAAATCAGGGACCAAGTAATCTTTTTTAAAAAAAATTATTTATTTATTCATATAGAACTGGGGTAAGGCCAGAGATGCGGAGGGTGAGAGGATTCACCAGACAGAGTGGGGAGCAGAACAGGCAGATCTACGAAGTACACTGCTGAGGGGAGCAGCGGGCAGGCCAGGAGAGGTTTGCCTCGCCATTGGATCTCCTTCCGGGGCAGGCGGGGATCGAACTCATGCTGAAGTGGCTTAAGCTTCTTAGTGCTGTGCTTTAACCTGCTGCGCCACCAGGGAGGGCCCATCAAGTAATTTTTATAAAATAACTTATTTATGTTACCGAGTTACATTGGGATATCCCCATCAGGTATTATTATTACCACCATCATGCCTCCCTCTCTCCCTATCCTTTCTCATTACCCCTTGTTGTTTCAGTTCTTCAGTTATCAAGTGTTAGTTTTTTGCTTGTTTCTTTACCTGACTATTAATTTACTTATATTTCACATGGCACCATCTGGCTATTTTTCTCTTTTCTGACTTATTTTACTTAGCATTAGCCTTTCAGGTTCCATCCATGTTGCTGCAAATGGCTTGAGTTTATCTTTTTTGGATTGCTGAGTAGTATTCCATTCTGTATATACACCCTTTCTTCTTGATCCACAATTAATTTTAAATCACAAGGAATACTTGTTTTTTTTTTCATAGCATGTATATTCTGACTTGTTTGTCTTTCTGTCTACCTGTCTGACTCCCTTTAAAATGTAAGTTTCCTCATAGCTACGACTTTGTTTTATTCACTGTTCTACTGCCTCATACCTAACAGTAAATTTATGTTGAATAAATACATTAAAATGTGAGTGAATCTATTTGTCCCCATATCATCTTAGCTTTAATTTTTAGAAATAAATCATTATGTAGAAAAGTCTTACTCACATTATTAAATTTTAGAAGCAGAGTATGAAATTACGTAACAGTATGCTTTTATATTTAGTTTTTTAAAAATCAAACCATTGCTTGCATTAATTTATTCATTCATCCCTCAAAAGAAAACATAGCATCTCCTGTATGTCCATTCTGTACTAAGTGTTCTGATTTAGCTAGTTTTCATAAGAAGACAGATTGTAAAACAATAATAAATGAAAGTCACCTGCCTCACTAGCTTCTCTCTCACTGTTGATCTTTAAGTTTTTCACATTCACTAGGCTCTTTTCTTGCACAAGTTGTTTCGTCTATGTGCTTAATATAGCTTTCTACCTCTAAATTTTATGATCTATGAGGCTAAGGTTGATGATACCATTTAAGTACAAGTCTTAGTTCAGTGCCTAACATATAGTAGGTATCAATAAGTTTGGTTGAGTGAGTGGTTAAAAGAAGGTAGTAGGAGTACCCTATCTAATCTAATAGAGATTAGGAGAAGTTTGTCCAAGGAATTAATTACATTTCAAACTGGGATCTGAAGAGCAGAGAATTAGTAAGCTAAGGAGACCAGGCAGAGTGTTTCAGAACTTAAGCTCAAACTTTATCTTAAATGTAATAGAAGGGTTTGAAACAAAAATGTGGCACTACCAGACTTGGTTTTAGATGGACTTTGGTGGCATTAGGAACAAACTGAATAGGTGATGCCAAATCACAGTGGTTTTGGTGTAGCTGTTTATGACCTGGAGTGGGTTCTTGGGAGTAAGGGTGGAGAGAAGGGGATGCATTTGAGAGATTTTTAGAAGGCAGAAATAAGTAGACTGAGATAATGAGGGAAATGGAAGAGTTAAGTATGATTTCAAGCTTCTGCGTTAGGCAACAGATTATTGTGTGGTCATTTAAAAAGAGTGGGAATTCAAAGGAACTGAGGAGAAAAAAGCCTGAGGTAACCTTGGAAGCCATCTAAATTGAATCTGAGCTGACGCTCACTTATTGGTCAGAGAACTCAATTTCTATGTATAGATATCTAGAAAAATGCCCAGAAAGAAATAATAAAAATATTAATAATTTTGAAATTTTAGTTCCATTTAAAAAATTTATTGTTATTTTGGTTGTTATTAGTATGTTTTATTTTTATTTTTATGTTCTATGGAGGAAGAACCATGAACTTTAAAAAGTTATATTGGTATCTACCATAGCGGAAAACCCAAAGTACAAAAAGCGAAAGCATTCCTTATTAGGCAAAATGTAGTCCTTAGTGAAAATAAATTATGGGTTCTAAATTCATTGTGAGTTCATCATTTGTGTGTGTGTGTGTGTGTGTGTGTGTGTGTGTGTTGGGGAGGTGGTTAGGGGAGAGGGAGGTCACTTGGAAATTTAACCTCATCATTTGAAGGTCTGCTCATAGTATGTGCTTATTTGTCCATTTATCCTTGACTCAGTACAGTCCCTGGTACCTAGTAATGGTTCTAGTGAAAGCTGTTATTTTAAATTTGTTATTCATACAACTATTTTAGTGTCTGTAATTGTCCACTGCAGTTATTGTACAATGATGTTTTCTGTGTCATCTTGGTTTTTAGGTAGATTGGGGTCAGCTGGACTATTTAGTTGTTGACATGCCACCAGGAACTGGAGATGTGCAATTATCAGTCTCACAGAATATTCCCATTTCAGGTAAATCTTGAAGTTTACACTAATTTGTACTGTTTTTGATGTTATGCTGTTGCCATTCAGAAAATACATTGCATGATAGGTTAACAGTTTTTTGTCTTAAAAATATCACCTATAACATTTCTTTTAGAGTTCAAATTAAAAAAATGGAAATTTCAAAATATTAAACAATGAGTGTGTTACAAAAACATAAAGACACTTCATAAAGGTGGTATTATAAATCTGTGTTCTAGAAAACCAGTAGCACTTACGTATTACTTTAGTAGAACGTGGCTGTTTGGTTCACAGTGATGCTCACTATATAAATATTGTATATTTCTATATAAAATCGCACTTATGGTTTAGTACTAGATATGCGATTGGCACTGACTAAATATTTATTGAATAAATAAATAAAAGTAAGTGTTAGGAAATTTTGACTTTTTGGTACATACAACTGTGGTAAAAATTTACATTTTACTACTTATTTGATCAAATTGCTTTAGAGAGCAAATAATTATAAAATGATCAACTTGGTCAAGAGATCAATAAATATGCATAGCTTAGATCAAATATGGTAGTGTATATCTTTTGTATGTTATGAAATAGGTGGCAGTAGTTGCTTTCATGTGAGATCTGTTTCTAAGGATTTTCTAAATTCTACTGAAGAAATAGTTATAAGTCTTTTTTATATAAGGGCTTTTGGAAAATGGTAGGTAGAATATTTAAACTTCTTTGCAAGTTATTTACTTGTAATAAGTATAACAAATACTTGTTATATCCACAAGATATAATACTGATTTTTAATCATCAAATTGTTTTAGGCTCTAGGTGTTTGATGAGATATATACATTCTTTGGAAGTATCAACATAATCTCATTAATGTGAATAATTTGATGTTTAAATATGCCTATAACTTTACTGGCATTTGAGTCTCTTTTTTTTTTCCCCTTTGGCAAGCTAAGTTATTAAATGTGATATGGGAGTGAAGTGACATGGAAAATTATGCATCCTTTTTGATATTAGTGTTACATAATCAACTTTTTGAAAGTAGTTTTGGAACTTCTATTCTTCTAAATTCTAATTTAAAATATTTAATATTTATTTAAGAAAATGTGGGTCTGGCACCTTTAAATGTCTATTGCAAGCTTTCAAAATGCTTATATTATTCATATACTACTATATTGATGAAATTGAGCTAAATTAACTTTTTTTAACCTGAGTTATGACTTGGTATCTTGAAAAATTTAATTTATTTCACACAGATAAACTGATTTCCCTGAGCAATTTACCTTTGTTTACTCAGATAACAGCACCTCTATCTGGATAGGATTTGTGATTATATCACAGTATTTTAAATTGTGTTTATACTCTAACTTCCATTGTGTATAGATTGGGGCTAAGATTTGCTTTTCCTTTGAGGTAATCTTTCGTCTGTTCTAAACTTAACCAGTATATATCTTTATTCCTTTCCTCTGCTGAAGAATAGCCTCTGTAATAGGTGATTAATATTATATGAGAATAGAAACAGTCTTTTTTTATTTTACTAAAATATGTCTAGCTGTCCAGTAGTTTAAGGTACAATCACATTGTGCAGTCATTGTCACCATCCATCTCTAGATGTTTCTCATTTTCTCAAGCTGAAACTGTCTACTCATTAAACATTAACTTTATTTCCTGTTCCTTGTATTCACCACTGGTAAGCCACCAGTCTCCTTTCAGAAACAGTGTTTTCTTTAGTAAGATGAGGGAATGGGGGTTGAGAAAAACTATTTTTTTTGAGGGTTTAACAACTTTTTAAAAATTTTATTATAATAGTTTATTTTACATCATTTTGTGCCTTTTTCCATCTCAGTTGTAATCCCTGTGGACTTCCCATCACCAATTCACCCATATGCCATCACCATAGTCCTGTGCACTTCTCTCCTACCCCTATTTTTGATCCCATTCCCCATTCCACTCCTGGTAAAATGTCGCTGGTATATAATTGTTCATTATTATCCTCCTTTATGCTCCTGCGATGAGTAAAACCATCCAGTATTTTTCTTTTTCTCTCTGGCTTATTTCACTAAGCATGATCCCTTTTCACTATATCTGTGTTGCTGCAAAGGCATGAGTTTATCTCTTTTGATTGCTGAGTAATATTACATTGCTTATATGCACCAAATCTTTTTAATCCAGTCATCTAGTTTTGGGCATTTGGGTTGATTTCATGTCTTTCCTATTGTAAATAAAGCAGCAGTAAACATGGGGGTGCATGTGTCTTTTAGATTCACTTTTAAAAAGTTCAGTCACGTCCTAAAGATACTTTTGAAAAACACACAAACTTGGTTAGTGGACTTCAATAAAATTCTGCTTACTAGTTATTATTGTTTACTAACATTTTCTATAATGGACATGTATATTTTTATAATTTAAGAGATAAATAAAAAGCATTGATTATTATTTATTTTCATTATTTACTTTTTAAAAAAAATTATTTATTTATTCATATGGAACTGAGGTACAGGCCAGAGATGTGGAGGGTGAGAGGATTCACCAGAGACAGAGTGGGGAGCAGAACAGGCAGATCAACGGAGTACACTGCTGAGGGGAGCAGCGGGCGGTCAGGAGAGGTCTGCGGCGCCATGTGGTCACCTCCGGGGCAGGCGGGGATCAAACTCATGCGGAAGTGGCTTCAGCATCTCAGTGTTGTGCTTTAATCCGCTGCGCCACCAGAGAGGGCCCTTCATTATTTACTTTTTACATTGTTTATTCTTCTCTCAAGTGCAGTCCCCATAAAGTTCCCATCCCAGAAACACTGACAAATCATCACCATAGTCTCTTGTGCTCTTGTCATCCATGTTTTGACCCGTGCCCTCCCTCTCTCCAGTGAATATCTCCAGTTTATAGTTTGCCTGCTGTTTTTTTTCCTTTCTGATTCCCTGTTTTTTCTTTTTTTTTTTTTTAAAGATTTATTTATTTATTCATACAGAACTGGGGTACAGGCCAGAGATGTGGAGGATGAGAGGATTCACCAGAGACAGAGCGGGGAGCAGAACAGGCAGATCGACGAAGTACACTGCTGAGGGGAGCAGCGGGTGGGTCAGGAGAGGTCTGCCGCGCCATGTGGTCACCTCTGGGGCAGGCGGGAATCGAACTCATGTTGAAGTGGCTTAAGATTCTTAGTGCTGTGCTTTAACCTGCTGCACCACCAGGGAGGGCCCTGATTCCCTGTTTTATTTTCCCCTTGTGTTCCTCCTATAAGTGAAGCCATCCGATATTTTTTCTTTCCTTCTGATTTATTTCACTGAGCATAATCCCTTCCAGCTCCATCTATGTGGCTGTGAATGGCATCAGTTTATCTTTGATGGCCGACTAATACTCCATTGTGTATATATACCACATCTTCTTGATTTAGTCATCTCTTTTGGGGCACTTAGGTTGTTTAGCTATTGTAAATAGTGCTGTGATAAACAGAGGGGGGCAGGTATTCTTTTGAATTAATATTTTTGTGACCTTTGGGAAAATTCCTAGAATTGCTGGGTCAGATAGTAGCACCATTTTAAGTAATTTGATGAACCTCCACACAGCCTTCCATAGTGACTGGGTAATTTTGCATTAGCACCAGCAGAAGCATTGATTACTTAAAGATAATTTATATCAGGTAATATCATGATTATTGTTATTGTTAATAAGAACTGCTACTTAATGACAGTATTTCATACCTTAACTTTCATGTATTCTTAATATAAAAAATTATATTAATCTAAAACTTATATATTCATATAATATATAGTATATAAGTTTATATAATTAATAGTACAATAGTATTTAATACTTTATATATATATTTTTAATATATTTCCTGTATTCTTAAATCTTTACAAGTTAAGTAACTTGTCCAAGGTTATAGAGTTACAGTGGGTCATAGCTGAGTTTCACATCAGTACTTATTGAATTAGGCTCATGCTCTTAACTTGCTTTATGTCAACATTAAAATTGATGACAGTGAAAAGACTATAATGAGGAGCTTCAGAGTGGAGGAGCATGTGTGTATGTATGATTTAGTTAAATATTTAATTCCTGAGGTTTGGTTTTATTGAGGCCATTGTCACTTCACAGATAACATTTTTTTAAAAGATTTATTTATTTATGCATACAGAACTGGGTGCAGGCCAGAGATAACAGGGGCGGTGAGAGGGTTCACCAGAGACAGAGCGGGGAGCAGAACAGGCCAACTGATGAAGTACACTGCTGAGGGGAGCAGTAGGCAGGTCAGGAGAGGTCTGCTGCACTATGTGGGTCACCTCCAGGGCGGGGATCAAACTCATGCTGAAGTTGCTTTAGCTTCTTAGTGCTGTGCCTCAACCCGCTGCACCACCAGGGAGGGCCCACATAGATAACATTTTTAGGAGAGACCAAACTTGAGCCTACTCACAGGATTTAGAGGTAAGGGCACTAACCAGAGTTCTGGTCTTACTTGAATCATAGCTTTCATCAATTTGTATAACCTGGAACAGCCTGTCAGAATCATGTCTGCTTTTCTAGGCCTAATTGAATTATCTTTTCTCTAATTATTAACCTGATTTTTCTTCCCTCTTATCATTGACTTTAGAAATCTTTTAAGAGACTCTCTGTTCTGCCTTTTCTTATGTCGCATATCCTATAAATCATGGAAGTATTTTAGAGAGTCCTTTGAGTTCCCCTGTTATTAGGCTTACTTCTGCTTCCCAGTAAACACATTTACCTCGCCTGGGCTCCCTCCCAAAAAACACTTTGTACTCACTGCCTACCTCTCTTTATTTTCCAAATCCTTTGTCTTTGACCCTTAATTGAAACCCCCTATCTGAGGATACCCAAGCTCTACATACTCTTTATTTAAAATGGTTATTCTTTGCCATCTTTCCTAGACTGCCAGTTAGGGATCATTCCTCCTTCCTTAGAGTTCACAGGTATTTTTGCTTTTTTTTAAGATTTTATTTATTTATGCATTCAGAACTGGGGTACAGGTCAGAGGTGCAGGGGCGGTGAGAGGCTTCACC